TGAGAAAAAAAAATAAAAAAACTTCCCGCATCCTTATACATGCAAATAGGCATTCGCCGTGGAAAATCAGCAAGTTGAATTCGTTTGTTAAGAATGAAAATATTCATGTGGGGGCAGAAGACTTGGAGCAACTTAAGAAAAGTAAATTTATTGCTTACAAACAATGGGGCAGTGTGAGAAAAAAAATGAAAAAACTTCCCGCATCCTTATACATGCAAATAGGCATTCGCCGTGGAAAATCAGTAAGTTGAATTCGTTTGTTAAGAATGAAAATATTCATGTGGGGGCAGAAGACTTGGAGCAACTTAAGAAAAGTAAATTTATTGCTTACAAACGACGGGGCAGTGTGAGCAAAAAAAATTAAATAATTTCCCGCATCCTTATACATGCAAATAGGCTTTCGCCGTGGAAAATAAGCTAGTTGAATTCGTTTGTTAAGGCTGAAAATATTCATGTGGGGGCAGAAGACTTGGAGCAACTTAAGAAAAGTAAATTTATTGCTTACAAACGACGGGGCAGTGTGAGAAAAAAAAATAAAAAAACTTCCCGCATCCTTATACATGCAAATAGGCTTTCGCCGTGGAAAATAAGCTAGTTGAATTCGTTTGTTAAGGCTGAAAATATTCTTGTGGGTGCAGAAGACTTGGAGCAACTAAAGAAAAGTAAATTTATTGCTTACAAACGACGGGGCAGTGTGAGAAAAAAAAAAAAAAACTTCCCGCATCCTTATACATGCAAATAGGCATTCGCCGTGGAAAATCAGCAAGTTGAATTCGTTTGTTAAGAATGAAAATATTCATGTGGGGGCAGAAGACTTGGAGCAACTTAAGAAAAGTAAATTTATTGCCTACAAACAATGGGGCAGTGTGAGAAAAAAAATGAAAAAACTTCCCGCATCCTTATACATGCAAATAGGCATTCGCCGTGGAAAATAAGCTAGTTGAATTCGTTTGTTAAGGCTGAAAATATTCATGTGGGGGCAGAAGACTTGGAGCAACTTAAGAAAAGTAAATTTATTGCTTACAAACGACGGGGCAGTGTGAGCAAAAAAAAATTAAATAATTTCCCGCATCCTTATACATGCAAATAGGCTTTCGCCGTGGAAAATAAGCTAGTTGAATTCGTTTGTTAAGGCTGAAAATATTCTTGTGGGGGCAGAAGACTTGGAGCAACTAAAGAAAAGTAAATTTATTGCTTACAAACGACGGGGCAGTGTGAGAAAAACAATTAAAAAAACTTCCCGCATACTTATACATGCAAATAGGCGTTCGCCGAGGAAAATAAGCTAGTTGAATTCGTTTGTTAAGGCTGAAAATATTCATGTGGGGGCAGAAGACTTGGAGCAACTTAAGAAAAGTAAATTTATTGCTTACAAACGACGGGGCAGTGTGAGCAAAAAAAAATTAAATAATTTCCCGCATCCTTATACATGCAAATAGGCTTTCGCCGTGGAAAATAAGCTAGTTGAATTCGTTTGTTAAGGCTGAAAATATTCTTGTGGGGGCAGAAGACTTGGAGCAACTAAAGAAAAGTAAATTTATTGCTTACAAACGACGGGGCAGTGTGAGAAAAAAAATAAAAAAAACTTCCCGCATCCTTATACATGCAAATAGGCATTCGCCGTGGAAAATCAGCAAGTTGAATTCTTTTGTTAAGGCTGAAAATTTTCATGTGGGGGCAGAAGACTTGGAGCAACTTAAGAAAAGTAAATTTATTGCTTACAAACGACGGGGCAGTGTGAGCAAAAAAAATTAAATAATTTCCCGCATCCTTATACATGCAAATAGGCTTTCGCCGTGGAAAATAAGCTAGTTGAATTCGTTTGTTAAGGCTGAAAATATTCATGTGGGGGCAGAAGACTTGGAGCAACTTAAGAAAAGTAAATTTATTGCTTACAAACGACGGGGCAGTGTGAGCAAAAAAAAATTAAATAATTTCCCGCATCCTTATACATGCAAATAGGCTTTCGCCGTGGAAAATAAGCTAGTTGAATTCGTTTGTTAAGGCTGAAAATATTCTTGTGGGGGCAGAAGACTTGGAGCAACTAAAGAAAAGTAAATTTATTGCTTACAAACGACGGGGCAGTGTGAGAAAAAAAATAAAAAAAACTTCCCGCATATTTATACATGCAAATAGGCGTTCGCCGTGGAAAATAAGCTAGTTGAATTCGTTTGTTAAGGCTGAAAATATTCATGTGGGGGCAGAAGACTTGGAGAAACTTAAGTTAAGTAAATTTATTGCTTACAAACGATGATACAGTGCAAAGAAAAAAAATGAAAAAACTTTCCGCATCCTTATACATGCAAATAGGCGTTCGCCGAGGAAAATAAGCTAGTTGAATTCGTTTGTTAAGGCTGAAAATATTCATGTGGGGGCAGAAGACTTGGAGCAACTTAAGAAAAGTAAATTTATTGCTTACAAACGACGGGGCAGTGTGAGAAAAAAAATAAAAAAACTTCCCGCATCCTTATACATGCAAATAGGCATTCGCCGTGGAAAATCAGCAAGTTGAATTCTTTTGTTAAGGCTGAAAATTTTCATGTGGGGGCAGAAGACTTGGAGCAACTTAAGAAAAGTAAATTTATTGCTTACAAACGACGGGGCAGTGTGAGCAAAAAAAATTAAATAATTTCCCGCATCCTTATACATGCAAATAGGCTTTCGCCGTGGAAAATAATCTAGTTGAATTCGTTTGTTAAGGCTGAAAATATTCATGTGGGGGCAGAAGACTTGGAGCAACTTAAGAAAAGTAAATTTATTGCTTACAAACGACGGGGCAGTGTGAGCAAAAAAAAATTAAATAATTTCCCGCATCCTTATACATGCAAATAGGTTTTCGCCGTGGAAAATAAGCTAGTTGAATTCGTTTGTTAAGGCTGAAAATATTTTTGTGGGGGCAGAAGACTTGGAGCAACTAAAGAAAAGTAAATTTATTGCTTACAAACGACGGGGCAGTGTGAGAAAAAAAATAAAAAAAACTTCCCGCATACTTATACATGCAAATAGGCGTTCGCCGTGGAAAATAAGCTAGTTGAATTCGTTTGTTAAGGCTGAAAATATTCATGTGGGGGCAGAAGACTTGGAGAAACTTAAGTTAAGTAAATTTATTGCTTACAAACGATGATACAGTGCAAAGAAAAAAAATGAAAAAACTTTCCGCATCCTTATACATGCAAATAGGCTTTCGCCGTGGAAAATAAGCTAGTTGAATTCGTTTGTTAAGAATGAAAATATTCATGTGGGGGCAGAAGACTTGGAGCAACTTAAGAAAAGTAAATTTATTGCTTACAAACAATGGGGCAGTGTGAGAAAAAAAATGAAAAAACTTCCCGCATCCTTATACATGCAAATAGGCATTCGCCGTGGAAAATCAGCAAGTTGAATTCGTTTGTTAAGAATGAAAATATTCATGTGGGGGCAGAAGACTTGGAGCAACTTAAGAAAAGTAAATTTATTGCTTACAAACGACGGGGCAGTGTGAGAAAAAAAATTAAATAATTTCCCGCATCCTTATACATGCAAATAGGCTTTCGCCGTGGAAAATAAGCTAGTTGAATTCGTTTGTTAAGGCTGAAAATATTCTTGTGGGGGCAGAAGACTTGGAGCAACTTAAGAAAAGTAAATTTATTGCTTACAAACGACGGGGCAGTGTGAGAAAAAAAATTAAATAATTTCCCGCATCCTTATACATGCAAATAGCGTTCGCCGTGGAAAATAAGCTAGTTGAATTCGTTTGTTAAGGCTGAAAATATTCATGTGGGGGCAGAAGACTTGGAGAAACTTAAGTTAAGTAAATTTTTTGCTTACAAACGATAGAACAGTGCACAAAAAAAAAATCAAAAAACTTTCCGCATCCTTATACATGCAAATAGGCGTTCGCCGTGGAAAATCAGCAAGTAGAATTCGTTTGTTAAGGCTGAAAATATTCATGCGGGGGCATAAGATTTATAGCAACTTAATTTAAGTTAATTAATTGCTTACAAACGAAGGGGCAGTGCGATAAAAAAATTTAAAATACTTTTTGCATTCTTATTCATTCAAATAGGCGTTCGCCGTGGAAAATCAGCAAGTTAAATTCGTTAGGCAAGGCTGTAAATATTTATGTGGGGGCAGAAGACTTGGAGAAACTAAAGTTAAGTATATTTATTGCTTGCAAACAATGGGGCAGTGTGAAGCCTTTGTTTCAATTGTTCATTAAGATAAATAAAAATTTATATATTTTAAAATTATAATCTTTAAGTTTCATTTTTCGTAAAATAAGAGATTTGTATTATAGTTATAGAATGATTTATTTTATAAAAGCATAAACATTTTTGTTTCAGCACCTTCGATCTAATTGGATGGATTTGATGATAATTTCAGAGTTTTGGAATTATATAATTGTTAATTAATTTCTGTAAAATCTTGTATAAAAATCCATGTTGAGTGTGCTTGTGGAGCTCATGAACAAAATGTGTGTGGGGCCCGGGAAAGAGAAAGAATTGAGTGGGGTGTGTATTTTATTTTTGACAAGCGTAAATTTAAGAGGACATCAAGCCCCAGGAAACCTTTGATTTCTGCAAAAAAAAAAAATGATTTTGTTGATTAATTTTAACAATAAAAATCGAGTCGAAATCAAGCACACGGTGCTCTTGAAGGAATGAGTTGCTTGTGCTTTATCAATGCAATTCTTATTTGGCGCCCATATTTTTGAAAATGCAGCAAATCTTTTACAAATTTTTATATCTGTGCCAAGTGTGCATACAGCGAATAGAAATTATGTCACATGAATACAGCAAATAGAAACCAAAAATTTTTTTTTTTTATATTTCCAACTGCATTTGTGATTTAAATTGTGAAGAAACAAACTCTTATCATGATAATTATATGATTATAGTAAAGCTTGTCAGAGGCGAGCTAATAGTGCTTCACTCACCCATAGAGGCGCTGATGAGCAAAAATTCTGCAGTCTCATCAGCAGAGCCTCTATCGGAGGTTTAGAGCATTTCTCGTCTCGCAGCGCCTATAAACATAAACAACAACAAAACAAACAAGATTCAGTAGAGACGGTAAAAAAATGCAGAGAATTAGAGTTTTTGAGTTTCTTGAAAGATAAAATAATAATTTCTTTGTATGAAAGTATCTGCGATTTTATTTCTAAAATAAACTCTTATATCAGGTTATAAATTTAAATATAAATAATGGAGCAAAGAAATTTAGGAAAGAGTGATGTCGAGCGCATCTTCAATCAATGGTTTGTCCCGGTTCTTTCTAATATGATATTTTATTTACAATTACTTCGTTTTTGCAGGCTCAACGCCCCAGAGTTGAGAAGCGAGGTGCGTGGTTATTTGCGGCATCGTCTTTACACAGCCCTTCACAACTCAAAGTTGGGTCCTAATTTTAATCAGCTCGATGTCCACCCTGTTTCACCAAAGTTGCAAACCCTGAATCTCCTTATCGCCGAGTACCTTTTGAAGAGCAGGCATCACTTCACTTTGTCTGTATTTTCCTGTGAAGCGCCAAACGTGAGCTGCATCAGCCCAAACATCCCAGAAATGCTGAAAGTGCAATCAGCAGATGGTTCGAGCTCTCACGTCTTCAGCAAGGAGGACTTTGAAGACATCGTCGAAACATTAGGACTACCAAAAAATTCAAACGTTATTCAGCAACTGCAGCAAAAATACCAAGAAGCCAGAGACCAAGCCCTTATAACATGTATTATTAGAAGTATGCCTGATTTTTTAGGGCAAAATCAAATGAATACAGGTCTTCAGTCTACAGCAGAGGTACAAGGAGCCGAACTCAATCGAGAAATTGAAATTTTAAAGAGGTTAACTTAAGTAAAATTTTATTAATTGCAAAATGCTAAATCTTATTTTAAATTAAGCAGGCAATGCCAAGAGGAAGTAAAAGAACTGACAGAATATTTCCAAAGAGAATTGCAGAGGAAAGATTTAATTATAAAAGAGCTACAACGAGCTGCTGCAGACTCGGATGCAGCCGAGCAAAACGATCGAATTGAGACTCTCCAGAGCCAACTTAAAGAAATGGAAAAGCAGTTCAAAAATTTTGAGGTATGATCTCAAGTTTGTTTTCAATCAAATGTGAATCTTGGAAATAATGGTATTTGAAGGCGGCTAAGGAACGAGAGATAGTTGGTTTAAAGAAATTAAATATGGCCCTGGAAAATGAGATGCTGGATTTGCAAGGTGCGCTTGAAGCAAGAAAAAAGCACCTCAGGGACGAGGAGTTTAGGTTAATATTCTGCAATAGTGTTATTTTATTTGCATTGATTTTTATAATATTTTTAATTAGGATGGAGCGTGAAAAGTTGACCTTGAAGCGGAATAAGAAAAAATTGCAGAAACACCAGAAACAACTCGACGAAGTCTCCATCGCTCTCACTGAGAATTTCCCAGACCAGTCAATGCTGCCTGCTCTGGAAATCCAGGTTCAAATGAAAGACCAAGAAATAGCAGAGCTCAGGTCAAAATATTTGAGCCTTGTTGAAGAGAACAAGATGCTGAAAAATCTCAGCACTCAGCAAAGGAGTAGGATCGAGAGTCTCGACAGAAAGGTTGCGTCTTTGGTGGATGAGTTGCACCTGGCAAGAGAACGGGCGCTCAGGGCCAGACAGATTGAAAGTGAAGGGGAGAGCAGTCCAACAGATGACGTTGTTAAGGATGCTAGGAAGAGAATCAGGTCTCTTGAGGAGGAGTTTGAGGCGATCGAAAAGCAACATAGAGACTACAAAAATCGAAGTGATGTGTCACCCTTCTTCAGCACATCTCTAGGGAACGATCACATTCCAACATCTCCAAGAACAAAGGGAGGAATCCCTCAGCAGCGTCTTCAGCCTGCAGCAGCTACTAGATCACCAGGGTCGGCAATGTTAGAGGAAATCCAAACTTCGATCAAATCACTGTATGACAGTGTGCAAGCCAAGCCTGAGAGACTTTCCCAAGCCAGGAATAATTCTGGAAGATCAAGAGCACAGGTACTCGATGTGTCAATGAGCAGCATTTCATCAGAGTCAACTGGTACGCATACTAAGTGTATTTAAGTTAATCACCTAATTATAAAAAAATTTAATATACTTTTACAGGCATCGAGGGTAGGGAGAGAGGTTTACAACTGCCAGGACCAAGTGGTATCAAGTCTGTATTTTCTCAAAGACTGGATGAGTCAATTTCTCCAATTCTACCGGAGGATAATGATAAACAAGAAAATTTTGAGAGGCGAAACCCACCTCTCAACCAAACTACCCAGCTTGCAGATTCATTACTGATGCCCCAAGCGAGTAAATCGCTTGATGCAACCAAGACTAACATTCCAACCCTGGAGGCAGAACCTCTAGGGACAAGCGACGAACTGAAACTGACCATTCCTAGTAGCAGCTCGAGCAGTAGTTCCTCAAAAGTTAATGCTGCCGACATGCTTAAAACAACAGTGACTGAAAAAGTTGTGACGCTTGGAGACAAAAACGTAAGTACGGTGGGAAGAAGCGATGGTGACGGTATGGTTGTAACAAGCACCAGTGAAGACCACAGTGCACCAGCCATCAGTGCTGCTAGAGACGATGACGACAACAACTTCTGGGACTTGTGATGTTTAAACTTGCTGTGTTGTGTTATGCACATGAAAAATTGTAAGCGTTTGTTTTGCTATTGCACAAAGCCAATAAAAACTAATTTTTTTCTTATAAAACCAGAAATATTTAATTCAAGTTGATCTAAAATCTACGTCAAACATAGATATAATATGATGAACACAAATTAGCATCCAATTTAATAAATTTGTTATTGTCTTAATTAATATACTGTCATGGTCAAGAACAAGATAATAATAAATAGTTTTGGTTCTTTACATAAAACTATTAAAATTATACTTTGTATACAAAAATAAGCCTTATATCTAATCACTTGTCTCTGCTGGTGATAAACTTTTTAAGGAATGCACAGACGATGGTGGACTGGTGCTGCGTTGATGAATTTGTCTTGAGCTGCAAGTTAAGGGATTCAAAATTAATTGAAAATTAATTACTAGCTGTAATGCTAACATGTTGTAAAAATGATCACCTTAAATAGGAAACATGCAACTAAATTTTCTTAGGTACTGTCGTTCCACCAGTGGACGAGGAACTTTCGGAACTAGAGCCTGCATTACCAGACTCGGAGGAGGAGGAAGTAGAGGTGAAGGGATCATCGCCATAGGTTATTTTGGTTTTGACATTGGAGGAAACCACATAATCATTAAAGCCTGCCTTCTCGTACCTGTGACTTTCTTCTTGTAGTCTTGCCTTTTCGAACTTTTCTTTAGTTAGTTCTCGGCGCAGAGCATCAACCTCTTGAGATTTTTCAGCTGCTACTCTTGTGTAACGACTGACGTCATCCCTATCTCTGTAATTTTAATTTATATCTTTCAATTACAATACAAATATTTATTTTAAGGCTTACTGGGTCTGCCTCATTTTTGTAACTTCACTCCTTATTTTATCCAGTTCTTGTGCCATTTCCACATTCGTCAAGCGCTGCTTCATCGATTCTTCCCTATTTTCTTCTAGCACACTTTCTATTGCACCCTTACTTGCCAACTCTCTCTGGAGTTGCAGATTCAGTGTTTCCAGTTCTGATTTCAACTTGGCGCAGTTTGCCTCCAACTAAAAGAAAGCAAATTTACTATTAAACAATTTTTCATTTATTTTTCTTCTACCTCGAGACTCCTTTTGTTGCTCAATTTCAGATCATCTTCCAACGACTCTTTCTGACTGTCAAGTTTCATACACAATTCATGGACAGCATTCAGATCCTTTTCAAAAGATTCAGACTGTTCTTTAACTGTTCTCAGTTCTACCTCCAAATTTTTTACGAGCCGGGTCAAATTTACAACCTTTAAACGTAGAAATTTTATTAATTATTCCTATATATAAATAGTGAGATTTAAGATCTACCTGGCTCTCATAACCAAAAATTAGTTCCTTGCTGGCAGAAAGTTGGTCTTCTAGATGAGAAACTTGTCCCGTAGTCACCTCCAGAGAGTGCTTCACTTGGTGAGCCTCACTTTTTAAACTAGTGTTGTGAGTCTCTAGCTCAATTGCCTCTTGACTCAAACTGTGAAATTGTTCAAGCAGAGCATTTCTTTCTTCCTCCTGAAGTTTTAATTTCAGATAATGTATTGTAACTGAATTAAATTTAAACCTACTTTGTTTGACAAGAGGTTTTCAATCCTCTGAACTTCAGAGACGTAATTTTGAAGCCGCTGCTTAAGATCCTCCACATCTCTCTGAGCGATGTCGAGATCTCTTTTTGAAATCTTGCAGTCTTTCAAAGAGGCACTCAGATCATCTTGAAGACGCCTGAAAATTTCAAAGCAATATAATGATATCATCTGGATAATATTACAAGTACAGCAGATATATTACTTAATCTCAATTTCAGACGCCTGCTTCACTTTGGCGGCCTGCTCCAGTTCCTTTCGGAGCCTCTCCACCTCGCGCTGGAGACCTCGTGCATCTTGTTTGTGGGCTAAATCGGAGTCTTGGGTAACCCTGCGCAAAATTAGATATAATATTGTTAGTAAAGTTTGTTGGTTAACAGACCGACACTGCGGTGCGAAATAGTCATGAATTTTAAAGTCAGGCACGTTGCAAAAGCAAGAGGAAACTTATTTCATACTTGATTGCTTCAAATTCACTGAATCACTTGAACGTGTCAATGACAAAACGAGGAAAGTTATTTCAAGAGCTTAGGAATGATCAAGTTCAGTGAAAGTAAGGTAAATGCAGTCATGAATAAAAATAATGAACCACTGAGTAAATTAATAATGCTTTTTTTTAAATACTGACTGAGCTACATTTTAAAATTTTTAAAATATTAAAATTTATTTATTTTGATAAATGATCCCCGTTGATAGAAATAAAATGTGTTATTTATTTTACAAAAATTTCTTCTTTTGAATCATTTTAAATTAAGTTAAATTTTTAGTCACAAATATTCTCAGAATGAATACTAATTTTAAAGAATTTTTTAGCCAAAATTAAACATTCTTTACTTTGGCATTCCAGCAAACTTGAACAAATTATTTTCGACTCTCTTCACGTAGAATAAGCTCAAGTTCAAGGCTCGTTGATTTGTTACGTGACTAAATTATCAGGTCCGTGTTTAGCCGAAACGCATGTGTGCGTTTTAAGTTTTTGCGCTTGACTTTCTCTCACCTGCTGGGTGGCGAATGTACCACGGCCGCGTTTCTAATCCACCGTTTTGGGGGAAAGGGCTTGGACTTGGAAGAGCGGGACGAGGGCGGGGTGGTGCAGGACCTCGACTTCACGGAAGTCTTCACCTTGGTGGTCACGCGAATATTTTTATTTGGAGCGCCCTTGCCCCTGTAGGAGGAAAAATTGCACCACACCCAAGAAAGGAAAGAATATAAAGAGGGTGAATATAAAGTTGAGAAGAAATTTAATGAAGATTCAGAAAATTTTCTCATTCCGGTGCCAATTAGAAAGCTTTAAAAGTAAGTGTATAACACAGCGAAATTAGTAGTAAAAGCGAATCAGTACGTTTGGCACGCAAAGGTAGTGCAGTATTGACCCTATAAAAATCAAATTGCAAGTTCAGACAAGACGTGAGTGGAATTTGCTTGTAATTCAAAACGTCACTGTTGTTCATTGACACAAATTTCTTTTTACTGATTAAACTCGTCTCAAGGTTCACAAATGAAATCCGGCAATGCTTTTCAAGATGTTGCACCTTTGGCGATTGCTCGCCGCCTACGCAATCGAGCAAAGCAATTAGCAGTCCAAGTTATGCCGAATGATATAATCGGCTTGCTCGTAACTAGGTCAGGAGAGGCTTGAGGTCACGGCTATGCTCTGTCAGCACCTCATCTTATGCGGAGCGCGCGATAAATCGCCTGAGAAGTGAAACTGAAAGTTTAATTATGACTCGATTCATCCTCATGACGAAAAATTCCCATGGCGCGTTACAACACCTTTGTTTCCAGGAAATCTCCCGTCGGCTCGCGATCCATAATTTATTTACGAAAGCCGGTTGGACACAATGGATCGGGCCGACGCATGAGCTGCGTGGAAATTTGTTAATTAGCAAGTATAGTAAAATATAATATATTTTACTAGGTTATAAAAAGGTATCTTGTAAAAAGCGGGGCGAAATTTCTTTTACATCCTAATTTGGTGCTGCGAAAAGATTCTAATGCTCGTTCAAAGTGGCTTCCGAGGCATTAAAGCAGAACCGCCGGCGAGTTGTTTTATGCTGGCGCTTTTTAGGATTTGAATGAATGTGTGCGCGCGGGGATTTGATCAGGCAGCCGCGATTTCACTGCCAAGGAGTTTAATAAAAATTTATGCCCAACGAGCTCTCACAAATTGCTTCGGCTCGATAATTTCTTATTTGATTACTAAACCGTTTGATCGGAGAATCCATCAGTGGGATTGGTATAGGATTTGTTTACAAGTTGAAGTGTTGCTCAAACATCATGGCTTGATTAATTAGGAGGTGATCGAAAGCTTTTCTTCCTATTTTCCCAACAAACACTAACAAATAAATTTTTTAACTGTAAAACTGCAAAAACTATGGTTAAAGTTATGCCTTAAAACTTTTAAACCAGTCAATCTGGAAAGTGAAAATATGATATAAATTTTCTCCTATATTGAATTAAAGTTTCTTCTTTTAACTTTTTGCAAAAATTTCTCCTTATACACGAATTAAACCTCAAAAGCAAATAATGAGAAAAAAATCGCGACCTCAGTATGGTCAATGGAGGAGAAAGATTTTTTAACCACATCAAAAAGCAATTGCCTGAGACGTCTCATGATCAAGAAAGTGCGTTTTTGGTGATTTTTAGACTTTTCTTTATGAAATCACAACTCAAAATATATAAAAAGTCATGCGAGTGTGAGGCACTTTGAGCTGTTTGGCCAGCGGAACGGCTGGTGTGGTTCACTTTCTCAGTGGCGAAGGCGTACAAAACTGTAATTTAATTCCGCGTGAATGCATGTCACATTAGAGAGAGGATGATGTGCCGTTGAAAAGCGCGAGTAATCCGAAATCACACTCACACAACTGTGCTCCGTTGTGATTATAATCGCAGATCATGAGAATCATAATTCGCAGTGCTCATGAGGCAATACTTTCACTCCATTGCACACCCTTACCTAATACATTCGCCACTCGCTGAGTCGCTATAATGTAATTTCATTGTTGGTGAGACGCGCAAAAATAAAGCCCCATGATTAATAGGTATTGTGTGCAAAGTGATATAATTGTAGCCACTCGCACATGTGCTCAGAAAGCTAAATGACCATTAAAATATTATGCAGGCAGATTAAATTGTGCAGACTTTCTTCTCACAGACATTTATTTATGTAAAGGAGATTTCCCCAAAATTTTGCATTGCAAAATTACTATTAATTTTTTTTGACAAAATCCCATTTTTTTTTTAAACGGCATTAGTTTTACTTTTTCTATAATGCAGAGTACAGTGTTAAATAATTTCTAATTTATGCCTATACACGTGAGAAAATGCTCTCTTATCACATTTTAATTGAAAAACGGAGTAAACATAAACATCAACAGCGCAAAAACAAACAAACAAACCGCAGAAAGCCGCTCTGCACGCGTGCCCATTGATTTATGCGCCACGGGATTACATAAACGCTTACTATCCGCGTGTGTGTTATAAAAGCGGAAACTGCGGAATGCCAAAGGTGCTGCTACACCGCGCACCGTAACACCTCAATCTGTTCTAACCTTTGGTTCGAATGCTGTAACAGGAGATCACCTTCCCTCTCGGTGGAGAAAGTTCCATGCATATATTTTACCAAAGAGGTTACGCGATATGCTGCTCTTTCTTCAGCTTTGTTTCCAATTTATTTTTGAAAGGGTAAAAGGAATATTTTTACTGCGGACATAAACGTCGATTGACTTTTGGTAAATTCAGTGAGCAGTCAGAGCCAGCAGTTGCAAAAGAGAAGTGCACATTCACCTTTAGGCAGCTTTTGTTGAAATGATTTTAGTATAAATTCCCATCTTGACATCTTGAGCCATATTAATTGAGTATTCATTCTTTATTTTTAACTTAGCTTAAAATTTATATATTTTTTTTTAGGAAATTTGAATATTTAAATTTTTTGCAAATTAATTAATTTTAGTTCTTCGAAAGACAACTTTAGTTTTTAATTTATTTCAAACTGGGAAAATCACGCAAGGCAAGGCCTGTATGAATTGCACGCCGATGGTCTACATCAACAGCTTTGTAATTGCCCCATATATTATCAACTAACACGGAGAGCTCATTAAATTTTGCTCATCGAAAGAGAAATCCGGTGGCACGACATTAACCTGCTGATCATGAGCTGCAACCGGAGTTGCAAAGTAAAAAGTCTAGAGCATCTCTCATGATGTATTTCTAACGCGCTCGGTGATCGCGGTAATAAGAGCATATATAATAATTATAATGGTCGCGGCTAGGTTTTATTTTGATGCGTGCGATTATTATGGTAGGCTCCAGAGAGAAAGCACGTGTGCAATGGCCAGCCACACGTTCAAATCAAATTAGCACGTCCGGCGTGCAAATAAAAGCAGGGTAATTATTATCATTATTATGCAAGTATGGCTGTCAATACAGAGGAGTCTAGTGAGATTTTTTAATTGAGTCGCACTCAACCGTGCATAAAACTGATGATGCTTATATTAGCTTTAATTTCACTTACATTTTTTAGCATTTAACTCATTTAAAATTTTGTTTTGTTTTAAACATTTATTTTACACATTTTTTGCTTAAACAAACATTTATCTAATATATGGAATGATATGGAAGTGATAAGACGAGTATTATTTGTAAACATAACAATATCTTCAAAATTTACTAGTATTCTATGAAAAAAAGAAGAAAAAAATCAAGTGATATTTTTTTAATGTGCTTTTTGTCGTTAAACTCGCCTTAAAAATGTAAAATAATGCCAAAATTTACTGCGGTGGGATTAAAGCTAACACCTCGCGCGGATGAGCAGGATCACAAATCACAACCTGCTTCTGGAGTCATAAATCACCGCGGCGCTTTGTAACCTGAGAAGCAGCAATAAAAAGAGGAAAATTCAGATTCGCACAATTTGCGACTAGATAGGAGGGAAAAAAACAGCATTCATTTTCACTTTTGGCTTGCTACCGACTTCCAATGAATAGAATACTTGTTTATAAATTATGCTGGTCACACAAATTTGGTCAGTGCCGAGAAAGGCGCTTTTCTAACCAAAGTTTACATATAAACTTTAAAATATGTAGTTCAAACAATTAAAAAAAAAAATTGATTAATGAAATTTATACGTAAAAATGTTAAAATAGATAAATTTCTGTTAAGATAAATACTGTAAACCCTATAAATTAAAGAATTCCCTTGAATTTTTAAAATGAGCTATGAACTGAAGACAAAAATTTAAGGAATTTGGTCATACAGTAAAATACATCATAATTATATAAACATTTGTCCAGAGTATTTTACGCTGCTCATAATAAAGAAATTGAAAATTTTAAATATTGCAACTAGAAGCGTGAGAAAAAAATTGACACAAAATTGATATATATTTTTCAATTTTGGTGAGCCACTAATCAATAAATGGTTTTTAGGAGAAAAAATTTCCAAAACTGGACAATAATCAGTGCTTTACATGCTGAACAGAAAGCAACATCTCAAGCATCACGTATTGGCAATCGAAGGCGTGATTGCATTTCGCCTCCGCAGAAAAAGTGGTGTCTGCACCCAGCATTGAAACAACGCAACAATAGGAAGCAGAAGTGGCTGAAAAGGTGGCTGCACACAATGAAAAGCAACGCGCGCGCGAATTAAAACGAGCAATGTGTGTGTGTGCGCGGCTGTTGGAGGAGGCAGCGGAGAAAGTGAATTGGGGGCTTTACTACGGCGGCGGCTCCGTTGATAGCAGCAGTGAGCACCGTACCGCCGCTCCGAGAGAATGGGTGCGCGCTGTCGGCGGCGCCGGTGCTTTACTTTTCACGCGCACGACCTCGCCAGGATTTTAACACCGTCGCACAGGGGTCGAAGAGCCGGGAAAACCTTGAGAAGACCACCTCCAGCGTGTTGTGAAAAATCAGGAGGATCCAAGTGCATCTCAGACTGGAGCTGTCAGTCCGACAGTCAACTCGTAGATATGTCGCGCCGCTCGCCCGACATGCGCGTATACTTTTGAAGGTGAGCATTTTTTTTCCTCCAAATTTAGAATTTTAATTTCAATTAAATTTTAATTAAATAGCGCAAAGAAATTAAACAATTATGTCAAAGAGTGACCATATTTTTTTTAATTAAATTAAAAATTAATAATACTTTATGTGGGCTATGGGAAAATTCACCATAGAATTTCATTGAATTTAATTTGAAAAAATTATTTATAGAAAAAATTGTTATAAAGCAAATTCAGTTTCTTTTTAACAATTTCAATTATAAACATCTTAATAATAATAATAAATGTTATAATTTCACGTTAATTGCTAGTATGTATGAATGTATAGAAAATTAAAAAAAAAAATTATGGTGGCAATAATTTATAATAAAAGATTTACAAATTTAAGAGCATTGAAAACCATTAAATAATTTATATTTTATTTACTAAAGGATATGATTGTTTTGAAAAAAATTGTTTTTAATTCTCTGGCAATCACTTCTGACCTGTATTGAGCGACATATTTATAGCAATGATTTAAATATTACATAATTAGAAAGTACTTGCAGCAGCTTTTAACATTGTACAGAGTATTGTTCTTGCAATCGGTTGGACCAGTTCTGCAAGCATTCGATAAGCTCACACTGGTTTTGGTGCCCTGCATAAATTCACGACGGGTGATTTGCAGAACCACATCTGTGCGTGTATTCAGGACTGTTTACGTTTCGTATGAAAAATGTGCAAGCGTAAAAAGTTTCGGTTTTTAATAGAAAGCGCATTAGTCGAGCGAGTGAAATTTACACAAAAAGGTGGTGAATCTAAATGCGGTGTTGGTCATCGTCCAGAGAGTTATTTATCGAATTAGTTGCCGCACGGAGCAAACCGGCTTGCTCTCGGAATGCCAGACAGACTAACAATGCAAATGAACCTGTGACGAGGAATGCATTTCCTCACAGATGCAAGTGAATTTTACTTTCTTTACGCGTCCGTTTTCCCAATAAACAAAATAGACCATTAGTTTATGCACGAGTGACGATAGCAGCTTGTCGATATTATCTCTTAAACCAAACGGCAAATACGCGCAAAAAATTAAACTAACAGAAACAGCGATAAAAAAAAACAACCGCACGGCATATTATCATAAAATAAAATTAGGTGTAATTATTGTAATTCTTGCATGGATTGAAAGAAAAAGGCTTTGGATTGGGAAAAAATTTAAATTGTCATGAGCGGCCTCGGAGAAGGTTGCGATGTGCGGCGGCCTAGCCAGAGGTCCACTGCATCCATTGCCATAAAATTATACACCTGCGGCTTCTTTGAGATGAAGGCCAAACCCAAAATTATCATGAATGAAGAAGAGCCGCCCTGTTGCGTCACAATACAAGTCAATGTACTTTTTTGTCAAAGAATTGGTCAAATTAGTAAGAGGAGTCAGGGCCGGTCAACGTTGGGCTTTCCTATATAATTTTTAATATCGTTTCTTGAATATCAGTTATGGAAATGTTTGTTTTTAAAATTAAACAATCCAATTTTTTTTGTCATTTATCAAGGCTTGATTACGACTACCATTCTTGTAGTTTGGATTGCAAGATGTCTTGATTTAAGCAAAGATTTCCCACAACAATAAACCTAATTTGCAACTAAAATTTAGTACTGTAACATTTTAAAATAAACCATTTTTAATGCTGACTAATTTTTGTAAAACAAATCCATTACTTATTATTTTAAAATAAAGATTTAATTAAATAGTCAGTAATCTAATTACAAAAATTATTTGTTGTATGGTTTTTTAAATATTCAATATTTATTTTTCGCTTTTTTTTAGGATTGCAAAATTATCTCAAAATGAACCGGATCTCGAACTTCACATTCCTCTTTGTCCTTTTGTCGGCGCTGGCGACAAGCAACCCAGCCATTGTGGCCCCACCCTGGGCTCACCCCAACGCCAATCCCTGTGGTGACTGGCAAGAAGTGCGGTGGAACGGAGACGGGCGGTGCTACCGAATTTTCCAGCAGGGTCCATGTCCCGAGACGATGGAGCTCGCTTTTCAGTCGGACAAAGCGGAGGCTGAGTGTCGCTGTCCGCCTCGAACGGCCCAGTGGGCGCGGGACGCCAAGTGCCATAAACTATATCACAGAGGCCCGTGCCTGTTGGGTCGTTACTTTGCCCCTGTGATCAATACAAGGTGGGGCACTTGCCTCGATCCAGAGAAGGAATGCGGCGAAGGACACCTTTACTGGCCAAAGGAGGGAGGCGCCTGCTACCAACGACTGACTAGGGGGCCCTGTCCTATTGGGGAGCTCTTTGTTGAGGAGGAGCAGGACAGCACGATAGGCGTTTGCCGATGTGATGGCAGATCCGAATTGCAATCATTTAGGTATCACAAAACTTCACTCTAAACAATTAAAAAGTAAAATATGTCTAAATATTTAAAATTTGTTTTCATTTAAAGCATGAAATCTTTAATTCCCCCCCCCCCCCTAGACTTAAGTAAAAATTTTATTATATGTTGTGATTTTTTTTTTAAACTATTGAATTTTTTTAGGTGGAACTCAAACTCGGAAGCGTGTTACGAGCCCTATTCCCGAGGTCCCTGCGGCAAAGGTGAACTGGTCCTTCCCTCACCACTACGGTGCGGCTGTTCATCAGACCTGGCCCAATTCCACAACGAGAGCAAAGGCTGCCATCCCTTGGGAACCACAGGACCTTGTCCGCCCGGCCACGAGTTTGTCCAGCCAGGCCCTGATTGGTCCCCTGCCCAGTGCCAGTGTAAAGAGCTGCATGCGTTTTGGCCCGAGACAGGTGCATGCTACCGCGAATACTCTCGAGGACCCTGTCAGGCGGGTTCGATGATCTTACCAGCAACCCCACCTCTCACAAACAGAACTCAGTGTGTGGCCCTGCCTTGCTCAAGAGGCTATTTGTATGTACCTGAAGCTCGGGGTTGCTTCAGGGCGGGGACAAGAGGGCCGTGTCCTTTGGGGAAACTGGTGGTGTTTGAGGACTTTGTCGGCGTTTCATACAAGGGACGCTGTGGCTGTAGCTCGAGGGATTTCCCGAGTCAGTCGTGGGACAGTGGCAGTGAGTGTTACGAAGTGGGGGTGAAAGGGCCCTGCCCCAAGGGACATGTGTTTGGCCCAGGAGGAATGTGCCATACATTATACACAAAAGGTTATTGCCAGTCTGCGGGAGAGTGGCTGGTGCCTCAAGGCGAAGGTGGGGCCAAATGCGAGTGCCGACCTGGGTATGGACCTGTTGCCGACGACCCCAATGATCCGTGTCAGCCGCCACTGGTTGCGCTTGCTCGTTTTTTATCAAATGGTTTTTAAGTGAAATGTCATTAAAGTGCTAATATTTATATTTATGTGGTGCCAAAACAACTGAATCTTGCTTCCTATCTAAATATATATTCATAAATTTAAAATTATCTGACACACGGCTGTGTCAGTTTGATTTTGAAATATTTTTTTTTTACATGTAACCAAGTACAATATTTATTCTCACTTCTCAGAAGATATTATGTCAATGAACTTGGTGTTGAGAGGTCTCAATTGGTTACATTCAGCATTAATTTCCCAAAAACAGAAATGAAATCTTAAGTGGCACTTGTTTGCAAAAAATTTTCTGAATCAGAAGTGAAAAATAAAAACCAAACCAAACTAAGAAATGGAATGCAAAAATTTACTCACTGCAAAACTTCCTTTAGCTCAGTTAAGTTTTTCTCTAACTTGGCAATCCAAGACTCTTTAGCGTTGATTTCTTTCTGCAGCAGAGCGATTCTCTCAGACTTCTCATCAAGCTGGAGCTGCATAAGTAATAATGGAAATTATTAGCCACATGATTGGAGTGTTATTCTACCTTGAAAGCATCCTTGTCCCCAGAATTGCGATTTAGCTCAGTCCACATTCTAGAACGCTCCTCTCTCAAGGCCACAACCTCTGCTTGTAGTGTTTTCAGCTCACTTAAACGACCCTGTGACATGGCAGTGTCCCTCCTCATCTGGCTAAGCTCTCCTTGACAAACAGCCAAGTTTGCCTCCGTTTGCTCGTGGAGGTTCCTTTAAAAAGTATAATTTTTATATTCATGAAGATAGTCTTTAAATATTTTATTACTTGAGCTGCAGATACTGCGTCCGTTGCTTGGTGAGCTCAGATTCAAGACTTCGCACCTGCTGCTCAAGGTTTGTTATGTGCGTTTGGTTAGAGCCTTTTTGCTGCAACAGTTCACGCCTCTCGCTTTCAAGTTGGTTCACACGATCCGTGTCTGTAGAGTAAGCAGCTGACTGGCGTTCCGAAAGCTTTCCAGAAACAAACTGGATTCAAACAGTACAAATTAAATTAATACAACAAATTTAATTGGAAACAAACCTTGAGCTGGTCTTTCAGGGCATCCCTTTCGGCAAGCGCAGAATGAAGCTCGGCCTTTGCAGCAGCCTTGTCTTTCTCAATTTGAGTGAGGAGGCTCTGTATTTATACATACAATAGATTGTTAAGACCTAAATTAAATAATGTATTTAAAAAAAGTATATTACCCGAAGATCAGTTGATGGATTAGATTCTTTGGCGAATTTAAGTTGAGTCTGCAAGCTAGAGTTTTCCCTCATCAGATTGCTGTTTTCTTGTTGTATGGCAATAAGTTCTTTGTCCTTGAGAGAAATCTGCTGGACCAAGTTGAGAACACCCTAATATTAAAACTAATTAGAACAATATATAGAGGGTTAAAGAATTCAACATACATTATCAGACATTGCACTCATTTCATCTGCCAAGAGTTTGCACCTCTTTTCCAATTTCTCTTTTTCTGCTACCAGTCTTTCAATTTCAGCCTGTAGTGATTTCAATAAAATATAAAATTCCAAACTAAAGAAGTTTATTTATATTGTACCTCGCGCTGAATCGAATCCGCAGTTGGCAAATTGTTGGCTAAGGTTTTGGCTGCTGTCTCTCTCGAATCATTGACATCTCTGTGGCGACTGCCAGATCTAGACGAGGCCTTCCTGGATATCGCGGAACTATGTTTGGCTCCAGCTTGCAGTTGGTCACTCAGCTTTTTAATTTCAACCAGCAGGGTTTTTTCTAGTATTGCAGAAAAATTATGTTAAATGCGAGCAAAAATTTCCGAAATTACATACCTCTACTTTTCATTTCATTCAGCTCCTTTGAAACAGAATCCAACTTTTCCTGTAGAAGGCTCTTATCCCTAGCATTTTGGTCTTGACCGGAACATTTGCAGCCCTTGGTCAGATTGGATTGCATCATTTGAGCCTTGAGGTCGTGATTTTCGTTGCAGCATCTCATATAGTTTTCCTCACACTGGGCTAGTCTCTCCTCAAGGGCAATCTTCTCATCTCTTAGCTCACATGCAAGCTTGTCTATGTCCTTCATTTCGGTGGTAAGACGATCACACTTTTGAACAAGTCGTACCGCATTCTTCATTGCCTCATGCTTCTGATCTTCACTCTCTGTAACAAATTACATTTTCAAAACTCATAAATCAGTACTTGGACTCAAAGAATAAACCTTTTAATTTTACTTCCAGGAATTTATCACTCTCTGGACATGAATCCTGAACTACTCTCTTAATAGGCATTCCACCTTCCAACATATTTTGCAAGCGTTCAATTTCCTGGTCTCTGCGTTTGAGCTGTTTTTAAGAAGAATTATTGACAATAATTAAAGTTTAAATTTGACTTACTTTATCTTTAACCGAGCCATTCTCTAACTTCAGTTCTTCAAGCTTTCCTCGAATCTTTTGAAGCTCATGGGATAGGTTGGACGCTTGAGTCTCCACAGTATTGAGGATGTTGTTTGGCGGTTCGAAATACATCCTTTCAAACTCACTTTGGCTTTCAGTATGCTTACTACTTCTTGCGCTGTCCTTAGCAGATTTTGATCGTAGCGGAGGAAACTCACCTTTGCTACTTCCAGCTAAAAATTATTTAAAAAGGCACAGAGTTAAAAATGAACAGTCGCAATGTGATTTTAGCAACAATGAAGAATTTTTTTCTGTTTAAACAATTAAAAATACTAAAAGTCAACAATGATGCTGAAAATACCTGGCCTAAAAGCTGGTCTGGCTCTAGGTTGCACACCTCTATGCAGCTTAATGGTCTTTTCAGCACATTCATTTTCTAGCTCTTTGATGCACTTGCCATACTGTCTCTCCATGATTTTGAATCTATCCACCTCAGCTTGGAGATTGTCCAATTTGCGCTGATGGGCTAAATAAAGTTTTAATTCATTACAACTATATAATAAATAATAAAATGTGGAAAATTGTTAACGTTAATGGAATAAAAAAGCAGTAATTAAAAACACATGTATCAAAAAGAGCATAATTTTAAATTTGTTAGTTACTTACTTCTTCTTTCATCTTCCAAGTTATCCTGAAGGGACAAAACCTTTTTGTGCAGTTCGTTGCAACTTTTCACCAGCTTGCTGTTTTCTTTCATATAAGGTTCGACGCCTTGTTCGTACAGCTTGCATTTCTGTATGAACAAATTAAATTAAATTTTAATTTAATCTCATAATAATTAAAATAATTATAAAGCGTTTATACCTCAATTGTATTTTTATAAAGATTTTTATATCTTCTTAAGCTATCAGTGGTTGTGACCAAATCTTCCAAAAGTTTTTCAACCAGCTGCAAACTGTCGATAGTCAATGGACTATCAAAACCAAGCTTGTCCAGTTTTTTTCGGACGATGCTGTATCGGCTCTGCTCCGAGTTTAGACAGAAAGGAGCCATCGCGTCTACAAGAGAAACAAAATTAAATTCTGTTTTTGACAATGCAAAATTAAAAATTATTGTTTGATAAATTGCTATAAAACTCGCACAAAAAGAGTAAAAACATTTTTTCAAAAATCAGTGTTGTTGTATGTATACCAGCTGCCAAAATCGAAAAATTATCCGGATATTACCCTCTCTGGAGAGGATAATATCCGGATAAAAGTCAGTTTTGGCAACTGGGGTCCACTTGTCCAGTAATAATTATTTTACCTTTTAATAGTGTTTCTTCGGAGAAGCAACGGGTCAGGATGAAACGTAAGCTCCGTCCATTCGATCGATACGCTTTTATTACCAAATTTGAAGCTTGCCGAGGCGAGAGTTGTTGTGAATAACCACGAAACACGAAAGCACGAAACTACAAAACTGTCAAAACAAGTGTGCGTGCGTTCAAACTTTCTGCGGAATTTACCGGCCGAGCAAATCGCGGCATTTCATTGGCTGCTACGAAGTACGAACCAATGCAAGGAGTAATTTGAAACGAGCTTTTGAGCCCTCCTTGATTTTGCTCAGGTCAGGTTACGCCTCTTTTTGTCGGATTCCGGTTACATTCTCTTATCGATTGTTTGTTGACACTTTTCCCTGTCGAAAATTATCATTTTTTAGGCGTTTAAGGAAATTTATCTAAGTAAGCTTGTTAAATTCCAAACCTGCAAGGTCCAGTGCGAGTAAAATCACGGCCAATGTGCTCATATTCCCAGTCATTTGGTGGGCCTGAGGGCAAAACTGTTGTACAACCTCTGCAGCCTTGATCGTGACAACGCGCACTGCGGCTTATTAAAACATTTTAGTAAACATTTTCTTGACGACGCTTGCGTGTCACTAAGTGGATAACAGTTTCTTTTTATTTTCCTCAACTCAATGAGTTTTTAATGTAATTAAAAACCCCCATATAAAAATATTTTGAAATACAAAAATGAGAAAACACGCACGAGAAACTTTTAGATACGATTTTCAATAATGTGTTTGAAACTGTAATCTAAACATTTTTTATTTTTTAGAAATTAAAAATGGAAACTGAGGAGGATAATCAAGGAATATCAGACAACGAACTTGATTTTGAAGAGGATGCCAAAGATGAAAAAGAAGTCTTAGATGAGGAGGAGGACGAGGCTAATAGGGAAGTCAATGCTGGTCAAGAGAAGCCTGAAGAAGTCAAAGAAGATGAAGAATTGTTGCAAGAAGATGATCAGGAAGTGACCTGTGAGGTTGGGCAAGGAGATCCTGAAAAAAGCAAAGAAAACGAAAGTGGAAGTGCGAGCGAAAGTGAAGGAGAGGTGACCAAGGAAAAATTTCAAATGAAAGTTTTTTAAAAGAGGATTTTTATCTTCAGATATCAGACAGTGACGACAATGATCACGCAGAGAAAACATCGGATGCCAAAGTTGGTGATGACAGGGAAGAAGGAGAGTGTTCTGACGGAGAGGAACCTGTGGAAGTCCCCCAAAACAACAGACCTAGAATTCCGTGCCGGTTTTTCAGCAGAGGTTTCTGCAGTTGGGGGATGAACTGCAAGTAATATTTTCTGTTTAAAACTTGAATTTGGGTTAATGATTATTTTATCAGGTTTATCCATGCTGGCTTTAATGATAAGGGAAACTACCGTATGTTTGAACCTATGAAACACCCAGTAGTATACAATAACGAAAATATCCATCCGATGCGCATGAGACCACCGCCCGTCATGGCACCTAGACCAGAGCCTGCGGGGCCGAAGCAAGAGACTGCTTGGGAGCGGGGTTTGCGGCATGCAAAAGAGGTTTAGCAAAATGCCCATAACTGAAAAGGAAAAAATATATATAATTTTATATATTCACAGATGATGAGGCAAGCCAAGCAAAGGAAAGAGACTGATATTGATTTTGAGGACAAAAAAATGAACCTTAGTTTGGGAGAAGATGATATTCTCAAGGATGATGTTTTGTACACCAGGCCGGCCAGCCCGCTTTTCTCGAAAAGCGATTTGGATGATGAAAACAACTATCCGCTTGAGTAGGAAGACTAAATTATTAATTATTTATAATTGTTTATTTATTATTTAACTTACAGAAGAATAAACTACAACACCCAAATGGAAAGACCGCCTATGCAGAGGCGCATGCCATATCAAGGTCCAAGAAATTTCAATGGAAGGGGAGGTGGTGGTGGTGGCCCTCCTAATTATCGAAATGATTATAATAATCAAGGATTCAAAGGAAGAGGCCAAGGAGGTGGTGAATATTGGAATGAAAGAAATAGGTTTGTTTACATGTAACCACATAATATATGTCATATCTAAGACAATAAATGAAACTTATAGGAATAGTGCCAAGCCAGGTAGGGGTGATGAATGGTCTGACCCGTGGATGCGAAAACGATCACCAACGAGAAAGTCTAGACGAGTGTCATATTCCTCAGGCTCTTCTTATAGTTCATCAAGGTAAATAAATTGCAGCAGCTGAACTTTAAAAATTTATGGATTTCTTTTTGCAGTAGGAGTAGAAGCTATAGTAGCAGCAGTCGCAGCTCTAGGAGTTCGTATTCCTCATATTCAAGTAGAAGCAGAAGTCGGTCTCGTTCGAAATCAAAATCTCGATCAAGGCTTAGTCCAATTGCAAGAAAAGAAGAGCTTTATGGCAAAGGCATGATGAACCGGCCAGCCACAAAAGAGGCAGCTGTGAAGCTTCCAACCAAAGAGCAGCCCATTAAAACTGAAATTGCTCAACCCCCAAAATTGGAGCCTGTGAAACCAGAACCTGTAAAACAGGAACCTAAGAGGCCGTTAGACTACAATCCATCTTTCCAAAATCCTCCAGCACCTGAGATTGATGAAGAAAAGTTGATAAGCAAAATCGGTGATGCTGCGAAGGAGACCAAAAAACTGACAATTAACCCCTTTGGAATTCAGCAACCTCCCACAAGGACGTTACCTGGCAACACTTTGAAAAAAGCCAAGCGGGCTCACAAGTGGGTTACTTTGTATGCAATCCATGTGAATTTCAATAACTTTGTATTTGGTTTATTCATAGAGCTAGAAAGAAGGCAAGTGGTAAAAAGAAAGATGAATCGGACAGTGACTCAGATAGTAGTTCATCAAGTTCTTCGTCGTCTTCCTCGTCAAGTTCGTCCTCAAGTGATAGTGAGGGTGAAAGTAAGAATAAAGGTACTAAAACCGATTTTTTTCTATGAATGTTTTAATGAATCTTGCTATGATTCAGGGAAAGCTAAAAAGAAGATAGTAATTGATGGTAGGGAGGCGCTCGCTAATATAGTAAAAATATCTGCTATGGACGCCTTGCGGATGTCAGGACAGAAGCAGCAAATCAAATTAAAACTTAAGCCAACAGAGGCAATAGCTGCTCCAGCTCTAATTGAATCCGATCCTCCTGCTCCATTTGCAACTGAACCTCCAACTCGAAAGAGATCTATTGATACTTGTGAAAGTGATGCCAATAAGGTGGGATCTCATTATTGTTAAATTTTTGTTTATTTCAATTTTGTTAATGGCTTATCTTTTTAAGCAGGCATTGAAGCCAACCAGCTCAAGACGTGAAGAGCTACTGACACAACTTAAGGCCATTGAAGATGCAATCAAGAGAAAGAGATCAAAGTTGCAGTAGTGTGTCAAAAGACTTTTTTCTGTTGGTGTACAAATTTTAATTTTTTTTCATGCATGTTGCATGTGTGTGGTGCGCCCGGATATAATGTACATTTCTCTCTATGGAATGATTATTTTAAAAGTTTTGCTATTGTACTGTTGCTACTTGAAATGATATTAATTCTTGTCCTAAAGGCTGCAGGACATGAAATAAAAAAATTAATGGAACTTTAATTATTCAGATGTAAAGGCTTTGATCTTTTCCACCTTTTTGCGCAACTGTGTCACCAAAGGAAAATATATGCAAACCGCGTCGGGCAGTGTAGGATTCGCATAAAAAATCACGCTGGCCGTTTATGGAATAGGCAGTAATGATATAATGAAATAAATTCCTTGTTTTATGCTAAATTGAATGCACAACCGGTCGGCGGCGGTTGTCTGCCTAACAAGAAGCGACAACTTTTTGTCTGACTGAGCGCGCTGGGGTCGTGAACTCTGAAGATTATTCACACATGAATAAATTATGCGGAAAGCACCACCGATAATAATTGTCTCACACTTTCTTCCATGAGGAGAGATGACAAATAAAAAATGCTAATGAGTCGACTTATTTATGTAACTGAGATGTGCAAAGAAAGAAGTGATGATTTTTAGTCAATACCCTGCGCTGCTCTTCCGCGAATCGAGTGCCTCGAGTGGCTACTCATTTTGAAAAGCAATTATGCGCGCCTCACGTTGTCAGTCTTATGGGACAAGACTTGTTTAAGTCTCAACGCTCGTCAAAGAATTTCTGCTGAGCAGCTGAGGCGCCGATATTTTTGAGTTTTCTTGGCACGTTACAAAGTGAATTTAATATAGGTGGAAGGTATTTGTTTAAAAAAGATGTCTTTTTTGTTTTAAAATACCAGAATAAACCTTTGACTCGATAATGACAAGAAGCTGAATTGAATACTTTGCAATTATTATTAATCATATAACGGGAGCAATTTCAAATTTTATTCATTTATATATTATATTTTTGTGGTAGAATTTCAAGATCGAGGGTTGATTCATGGTGATTTGAATGTAAAATCGGCTTTTCATCGATTTTTTTCTGAAACAATAAACAACTCACAAAAACCCATCTAGGAAAAGCCGATTTTAAATTCAAATCACCAAATATATTATATATTTTGATTTACAATTTTATATTTTAAAGTATGAAGATAAACGGACAACTAATTATTTGCAAAGAGAAATTTTGGTTTAAATTTAAACATACATAATCTATTTGTGGAATTTTTAATTCAAACCTCAAGTAATCCTAATAAATTTCTTCTTGAAAATAAATAATGCAATGAAGCGTTTAGTAAACAACACAAATAAATATGTCTATGTGACACCAATAACCGATAGTAATATAGATTTGCGTTCGTACACTACTCAGTATTTGCTCGTAGTAGTCATTATATTTTCTCTGCCGCCGCGGCTGAAGGCAGAGTGAGCGCCGCGAATGCAAGAGCCGTCGTAATAATTATAATAAACTGAACCCATAGATTGTGCACAACAATGGGCCCGCTTGGATTTCCACGCTGTAACGAAACGGAGGAACTGTGAGAATTTTTACATGCTTGATAAGAGAATTTACATTATTCTCTTTTAATTAGCCCGCTAGTGGGGGTGTCGCAGACGGGAGTGTGCTATAAGAATTTTCATCACGCTCCAAATTAGCTTATTCAGTTCATTTTTTTAGTTCAGTGCAGTTGATTTCAAGACAACGCAAGCATGGGCTGGATTCGTTTCGCTTTGAAGGTATTTTTATAAATGACAGAAAATTATTATCATTATTTTTTTGCCAGTGATGATCTAAATTGTCAATGTCTTAATAATCAGCAACATAAAATCATTATAATTATATTTGAATCACTACAATCCTTTAGCAGTTTTAGCGAGTTAGTAATAAAAGAAATTGGCGCTTACAAAAACCACTGAATACCATTAGCATTTATTCATTAAAATATAATAATTTTGCAGCTCGTCAGTTGCTATTAAACCTTTTTACACACTAACTTTGCACAGAGATAACAAATTTTATTGCGTCATTTTTCAGTTCATCGCTTTTATAGCACTTGCAACACCAAGTTTTGCGATCGAAACTCCCGTTCCGGAGCGTTTTTTGCAACCCAGAAATTTCAACCCTCATCCAATAACTGATGTACACCGATCTAAGGAAGGCACATTGCACCAGCTGAATATTCCAGCTCCGTCAGATATATATGCCCACTATGTAAGACAAGTGCACACTACTGTAATTCAAGAAATAATTTTTAAACAAAATTTTCAATGATTTGTAAAAAATATAATCATGTTTCTTGTCTCAAAAAACAGCAAAATGATTAATTTTATTTTCTATATATTATAATTATCAAATATGTTTATTTTCTTCAACTTTCTATTCCTTACAGCAATTAAAAATTAAACTTGATTTTTTTATAATTTTTTATAAGTTATTGTAATTGTTTAATGAAGACTTGTGTCTGCTTAATTCCGCTTTTTATTTTAAATTTGTTTTATATATTCAGACACAGCGGAGACAGCCTGCCTACAAGGATCAAGAATTCAGACAGTACGCCTCCTTGGACCAGCAGCTTGCTTACGAGGCCAACGTCCAGGCCTACATAGCCGAAGCGCACAGGCACCAAGAATTTGACACATCTGTCGGGCCGTACGTGTCACCGACCGCCAACTACGATCACGGACATGGACACACCTATCAACACGAGCAATACAGTGGCACTTCTGAAAGCCCCGTCAGGCACTTCACGCAGGTGACCCAGCACGGGAATGGCCTCTACACAAGCAAATCGACGCACCACCGTTCCGATCACTTTTCAAAGGTAAGAAGCAGTCCTATTTTTAAACACAGATGCTTCAACTGCACACTGAATTTTAGTTGTAAATTATATTTCGATTTATAAATTTACAAATATTTTGAGGTGCAATATTTATTTGAGACGTAGGCGCAGCTTTAGGCTGCCGATTTTAGAAAGTATCTTAATTAATGTCTGCGTTCTTTTGAAATTAATCGATAATCGTGCCACTGCTGTGATCAAACTCGTGTGAATAAATATATAGTGAATCAAATTTAAAAACCAAGCGATTGACTTCCTATATAGTTTGATTGACGCGAGTTTTCATTAAATTTTTTTTAATACCATTGTTTTATGCTAAAAAAGATAAAATAAAATAAAATTTCGCAGTTTTAGAAATTTTAAAAATGACATAATGCATTTTAAAACCAAAGAGTAGCAAAGATATTTTTCATATAACACAGAAAAAGTTATTATTTTTAAAACCATGGAAAAATGCATCCATGCATAAATAAATCTTTTTCAACCATTTCACTTTGCCTGCAGAAATTATAAATTTCACCCTTTAATTATTATGCAAAATTTCCTTTTTCCCGAGCAGAGGCGATGAATCTTGAATTAGAGTCCAACTCTCGTTTTCGAACAAACGCATTTATTGCAGAGAATAAAACCTCTCTATTACAGCAAAGTGACCCACCACGTTAATTAGCTAGCTGTTCACACCGCAGTAAATTAAGATAATGAAGAGCATTTAAATAGAGTATAAACTTTTCACAGCCTTATAAACCATTAGCATACATTCATCATAATTTTTCGCTTGGAAATTTCCTACCCGAGCAGTCGGGACTTGCAACAAAAGCGTGGCAGCGACAGGTCGGTGTTAAAAAGAAAGAGTGGAAACTTAATTGTGCTCGCGCTGAACGCATTCCGGCGTGTTGCTGATTTTGATCTTTAAAAAGGCTAATCTTCTGCCTGGCGCGAGAGCGACTCGTGTTTGCGTTGTCCATCAGCACCGAGTTTTTGCTCGAAAATGAAAGTTTGGGCAAAAGAGCGGCGAGTGACTATGTGAATATATGCAAAAAGCTTAAAGACCAAATTACTTAATTGTCACAAGGAAGCACTCAGCGTCAGCGAGCCGCCTTATTACGCGCGAGACGAAATTGCCGCTTTATGCAACAATTTTTCTCCGCGCAAAGAAATTTTCTCGTAATAGTGCGACACTTTTTTTTTTACAAAATTTACCCACGAGCGTTTTGAATACACCTGGGTTTCCTGATTTCAGAAAGCTGCATCAGTTTCCTGTAAATTTGCAAGAATATTAAAAGTTGGTTATTAAACGAATGTTGTTATAAAAGCGCGGGCAAATCATTTTTTTAAGAAGTGACATTCGCAGCGAATTTTTGAACGTAAAATGAAAGAAAAAATTGAGGATCTTGCCTATCACTATTTGTCATTATTAAATGTGTGATAAATATTTTGTTTAATTGGTTTTAATTTTCTTTCTATCATTTTGTTATAAACATTTCTTTTTTATTTAAATGAAATTTCAAAAAATTTAATTTTTTGTCTGCAGAAACCATACTCATTCGCATACGCCGTGGTTGATGACCTGAGTGGCGATGACTTCTCGCACTCGCAGGCTCACAACGGCCACGCGACCCAGGGCGAGTACCGGGTCAAACTGCCCGATGGCCGCACCCAGGTCGTTCGCTACACGGCCGACAACGGTGGCTACCACGCCGACGTCACCTACGAGCCGACCGACGAGGTGGCCGACGTCGTGCCGACGGCTGCCTACCACCAACAGCAGGCATACCACCTGCTGCCCGAGCAGGACGTGACCCACGTGACCCCGTCACCTTTCGGAGGTGCCGCCGCTTATCCTGTCGTTAAGAAGAGGTTTTACGGCGAATCGGCGGTAAGTGAGGTGATTCCTGGTCACCTGGCAAAGGCCACCACCGACATCGAACCGGCGCAATTGGCGTTTGAGCAACACCTCCTCTACAAACGCAGCCACAAGCGGCGCAAGCACGCCGGCAGCAAGCGCTCTCGCAGGGCATAATTAAGTTTTTTTGTGCTATTTTAAACAGTTTGTTATGTTTTAATTGTTCCAGATCACTTTAATTTTGCATTTGAATTTTCATAATTTGCTGAAATTTGGTTACAAATTTCAAATCCATAATTTTTAATTTCATGGCTGTGAAAATCTCAAACTTTTAAAATATAATTGATTTCTTAACAAATTTAATCTCTCTAGCTGATGCTATAAACATTTTTTGCTTTTTTAAAAATAACTATAGCGATACTATTGTTTTCAATTACTTAATACTTTTCCAATGAAAATAGGATGCCGCCTTATTCCCGGCACAAAAAAAAAAAAAAAAACTATTGCACGCATCCTGTCCTTCCACGAACAAAAGATTTTGACATTAACGCATTAAACTGGGCCATTTTGAAATTTCAATCTAAAATCTGACGACCTTGCGTCTGGTTTTATAACAATGAAGGGACCGCCCAAAACAATTATGAATAAATTTTGCCAAATTTCAGCAGATTGTGCATAGTGAACGTGGTGCTATTTGCGCCTAACTGCAAACACTTTCGCAACGCAGTAATCTCATTGTACGTGCTCTATAGAGTGCAAATCGTTGATGCTTGGGAACTTCATTTGCATTAAATGTGAGAGAGGAGTCGCATGTGTGTGTGTGCATTACATATTTCGTATCACCGCTGGCGCGTTATTAAAACTGCGATTTTGCAAGTGTATATCAAATAATAAACACTCTCTGTATGCTGCGAGAACAGAGAGAAATTTTCGCGCCATTGAAGCAGTGCGCGTCAATTGTATGAGGCGATTTGCATTTGAATTATTCGCGAGAGGTGCGAATTTTCTGTTGAAAACGCTGAATAAATTTAATATAGCCTCTTCTCGTAGAGCGTCCAGAAGAAATTCCTTTTCCTTATTTGATTAACATTCATATCGCACGTCAATGTGAATTTCTTTTTCATTTAACACCTCTTATTGCAGGAAATGCTTCATTGTTTTCATTTACTTTTCCTCATTACAATAGTAATTGCCTTTTTTTATTGCGCGCATATCCTTTTCTTGGTATAGAGTAATTATGTTTAATCTAATGCCTCCAAAATTTCTCTTCCGACCCGCAAATCTTTATTGCAAAGTTATCCAATACCATCATCGACTGCCTCTGAATTTCGTAACAATGTATGTATTGCGATTATATTGCACCAATTATTCAAAATTGCGCGATTCAACGGAGGATACTTTTGTGGCTTATTGTTACTCCTGGGAAAATCGGTCCTTATGAATAATTCCATAAAATATTTTAATTCAGAAAGGAGCCAACCAACCCGCAATGCTTGCCTGCGTGGGATCTGCTTTGGTCTGCTGCTCGAACAATGCTTTCGATTTGCAATTGAATTTATTTCCATAGGTTTCTCACTTAACTTCGATTCAAAGTTTATTATTCCAGCCTGGAAGCTACAAGATGTCGGTTTAAATGAATTTCTCGCGCTCGTCTGGCAAGAATCGCAAAGTAATTTATCAAGAAGCTCATTATGGTTTTGAATTATGGTGCTGAATGGGAAAATGCCGACACTTCCTCATGAGGACAGGTTGCAATAAATTTCTCCTGCGACTCACAGGTTAACAGAGGCTGCTTTACTTTGTGCAAAAAAATTGTGTAACATTCTTTAGGGCAACACTGAAATTCTGCTTTGACTTCCGAGAAAAAATATTCATGTTTTCTTTTGTCACTATTGTATTTTTGATGGTGATTTTGTCTATACCGTTAGTTAAAAAAAAAAATTAATGACACTGTTTTGACCCTTTTACTCCCTTTAGTAAGCCAACTGTTTTATGCCTTTAGGTTAATTAGCACAATGAGAGAGTTTGCATCACAAAAAGTCAGGCACGTTGCATCTCTCCGTAAGTACGCCACGAGAGTCTAATCGAGAAATCGAACGCCGAATTGCCGGTGATGCTCTTTTAACCTCTGGGCGAGAGAATTGAAAGAATGCTGCTGCACGAGACACGAACGGTTCACTCAATTCGCTGAGGTAACACGGAATTTTACGAGTGAAAAAAGGAGTTAAGGAAGGATTGGAGATGGCATCATTACGCGACAACCAGAGGAAAGTGGTGTGAAAATTTATTCAGCGCCTATATCTACTCTTGGTGCTGCAAGAAGAACGTTGTTGTTATTTTTATTTGCACACTGCCGAGTGTGATGTAACGAGCGCGGCGACGACTCTTTTCAAAAAAAATAATAATGTATGTGTCGCTTTTCACACGTTGGGAGACAAACTCACACAAGACCCGCATATAAGTGAGTGCGTCGATTGTGTGCATCATATCAGAAGCGGCTCATTTAATTAGACGCCGCGGTTGAGCAAATCACGCCGCCACATCTGATCTTTTCTCACGTGCGGGCAACAAACTGCCGTGAAGCAAGAATTTATTACATATTACTTATAAATCATCTAAAATTGAAGTAATTTTTTACAACAAATTCACAATTTTAGATATCAAAAAAAGGGAAAAAAATATTGAAGTGTTTCAAACTGGCTTTGTTTAAATGAATTAAGGTTATTATAAAATCATTGTAAAAATGGATTGCAGTTTCATACTGCATCGATTTTTTATGTATGTTGTGATATTAGGCTTCGTCTGCTATTTTTAATGCACATTGATCATCTCACGATATATATTTTTGCAAAAGATTTTTTTTCAAGAATTATTTGCATTTTGCCGAAAAAGTCGGCAAAAACTAGTGAAAGTACCTAAAAAGCACTTCAGCAACTGGCAGAGATTAAACAAGATCCAACAACACATTAGTCACTCAACATTAAGCAAACGGATCCGCGTAGACATGAGGAGAAAAACATTTAAGTAAACAAACACACGTGTTTGAGCTAAGCAAACAATCCTAACGCTTGAACAGAGTGGATTTAAAGAGATTAACGATTTCCTTTTTTGGAAGAAAATATTTAATTATTCGTTTGCACGCTTTTCTGAATGCTATGAGTTTTATCTAAATTTACAGCGTAGGTGATTTATAATTTGCATAAATGCCACATCAAACGCAGTGAAAACAATTACGATGTCAGAGCAACTATTAGGTGAATGGCAGGATGTTATATTAGCATATGTGCAGCGCATCCTCCAACGGAGTAGGTAAAAAATAAAAACAGTAGCCAGCCGCGTGGAGCAACATCCTGAGGTCGTAATTATAAGAGACGCGCACCTGTTCTCCTTCATCTCCGAAAAAAAATCATCTTGCTTGAACTGTTGAACAATGAGAAGAAATGTGTTTCGCAACTCCCCTCAATAATGGCTCTGTGATTACAGTTTTAGGTCGGATCGCCGCAGAAGGTCTTAGAGGGATTTTGCGAATTGCGTAACAACAATGACTAACCTTTCCAAAAGTGGCGATTAGATCTGGCGCTCTAATTATCTTTGTCTGCCGAATGGAAGCATATTTTTTTATAATCTCTTATTATTCCTCTAAAATTAACATTGTCAAATATTGTTTAGTATATATCATAAAAAATTACAGAATAACTAACGCCTCAACATTTAATTTCCTAGTTGATTTATTGTTAAAATTCTGAACTTATATTGAGTGTAGCTAAAAAAAGCAGCGATAATGGAAATATTTGTGAAACCTTTTTATGATATTATTTATTTGAAGTTAAATTTAATTGGCAGAAATTATAAAGCAACTGCCAAATCAAGGGGAATTATATGTATTTCTTCAAAAGTGTCAAAATCGGATATTTCCCATTATTGCAGTATCGGCCAGCATAATCATCGCCTGCCAAGTTCCACACCATGGCACCACCCATTGTCTTTGCATATTTTACCTACAGAAAATCATTATTATGGTAATTTTGACAAGTATTTGGTATGCACCTTAGCAATGTAGTTGTCGAGGCTTTCATAGGAAATCCACTGATCCCCTTTATAGGCATAAGTTGACTGGTAGAATGTGCTATTAACAGATGTCCAGCCAGTTTTTTTCAAAAAATAGCAAACCTTTCAAAATTTTAAGTAAAAATTCCTTTTGAAAAAAATTTCTAAAAAACTATACCTCCATGTAGTCAAGTGCCCCGTCTTCTAGTGTGATTGGACCTGCAGTTCCAGGACCGGTGACATATGCACCCAAATCATGTTGAGTGGGATCTTCCAAGGTAAAAGTCTTTGCATACAGAGGAATGCCGAGCACCAGCTTTGCACCAGGCAAACCATTTTTCTTCCAATAAGCCACCGACGCGTACTGCAAAATTTTCGCGGTGTTTCAATAGAAAAGCAAAAATTTAAAATTACTATGGAAGTGTCGTTGACTCCTCCTTTTAGTGGTGCATTGTATCCAGTGACCCCGTCATCGTAATAGTGGTAATCGTAAGTCATAACATGGACCCAGTCCAACGATCTTATAAAAAGGTTAATATATAAAAGGCAAAGCATAATTAAACTCACTTAACCAATTTTTTCATATCGTAGCCCAAAATCGCAGTTTCCGGGTCAGCAGTGACGGCCGCAGTTAAAATTCGGCGGGGTTTCATTTTTATCAACCGTTTCTTGAGAGCAGCTGCGAAAATAGCAAAGTTGGCCTAGCCGTGTCACCAATGTTTGGTTAAAAATTTGCACTGGCAAATATATTACAAGCGTTACTTTGTCTTCATCGCTGCTTGGAAATTCCCAATCTAAGTCAATACCATCAAAAGGGTAAACGGTCAAGAATTCTGCTAATGAATTCACAGTGGTGTTTATTGTATCATTGTCTGACACAATCTTTGCAAAGACTCAGTAATTTTTAAGCCAAATAATTTTTTTGTTACATACCCACGAAAATGTTCCTGGATCAAATGAACCACCGCCGACTGCAATCATCACCTTCAAATTCTTATTTAACGTTTTGAGGGCCAGTACTTTTTTAAAACCCTCTGTGTGCAGAAGCAAAAGTTTGATAAAAAAAACTTATTGATTAAATTAAATCACCAAGCTCTTCATCAGTATATGTGTCCAAAACCTCTATAGTTCCATCAAAGGAGAGACCAAGGAACGAGTAGATTACATGCGTACAGAGATTCACAGGGATAGAACTTATGTTGAAAGCGTTTGCTCCTTCTCGGTACACAGCCCAAGATCCAAAGTAACAAACAAGCCTCTCTAGTATTCAGAAAAAAAATCATTTGGAATGAAATATAAATTTTGAATTTACTCCCCGCGGTAACTGAGCTGATTGAAATTAAGAGCAAGGAGAACGATATCAATGTTGACTTATGCATATTTCTGCAAGTTAAAAGAGCGTTTAAACGTCGTTTGGTCACGAATGCTTTTAAAAGACCCCTCCACAACACGCTATATTATCAATGTTGTGCCAGTTTTTGAAGTTAAATGCAAGATCTTTTGCCCTACAGGAGGAAGTAATGTTTCAAACAATTGATAAGAAAAGCGAAAAACAGAAGTGTCCACCGCCATACCTACCAGGGGAAATGAGGACTTTTTAATTACCTAAAGTGACGCATTTTCGTTTTACTGTGGGTACGTGGACATCCTGGAATTTTTATTTATTGTGATAAAAGGTTACAAATTTTATGTAAAAGAATTAAAAGAAATGATCAAATTCCACAAGAATATAATTACATTAAATACTAAATTTATTGAGCATATATTTACAAGCATTTCATGTTGAAAAAAAAATAAAAATCAAGTTATCAATGAGAAAAAAAAAATATAATATTGTAACTTACTTACTAAGCAGCAAAACTGTAACTTTTCTAACCACGTGCATTACTGGTGTATTATTATTATTATTTTTTTTTGTAAGCGTATAATATTTTCATTATAAAAAATAAATAACATTAGCTCATCATTCCTTCCTTTATTATGTCAGTTCCACTCAGTGGTAATAATAATAGGATTTTTTCTATAAATTGCGGCGACCTTGTCGGCGTGCGGTGCATTCGTACTGCAGAGAGTGATCCAAATTCGAGTCAAAGTGCCTGATCATGACAATATAACAAAGGGAAAGTGAAGATCAAATCTTCTCTTCGCTACACGGCCAGAAAAGAATGTGCGCATTATGTGTGTGCAGGCAAGATGAGCAAAACATCATCGCGCACTGATTTGATACGGCCGTGTGTTGCGGTCGAAAAGCATTACGAAACTCTGTGCTCCGGTTAAATGCCGTTTGTGCATCTTGTATGTGCAACAGGAATCTCGCTCAAATCTCATTGTACTCAGGTGCATGAACGGAAAGTTACAACTAGCCGCTGATTATAAAGAACAAAACTTGATAGAGCGCTCATAGTATGCGCTTCTTGTGTTTGAAATGTTTGAATTATTTAAGTTTTAAAATCAGTTGAAAACAAAAATGAGAGAATACGTTTCAATGGTCGAAGCAAAATAAATAAACTGAATTCAAATTTCAAGTTCAAAGAACAACACAATCAATTTATAATATACTTAATATAGAGTCAAAATGATAAGTAGGCGATAAGAAATTTTAATTTAATTGTTCTTTATTTCATCAGTTTATATTTAATTTCAATTTTTTATTCAGCCCAATGTTTTGGAAGATTATTCAAGATTTTAACTAGAAATGAAAATAGCTAAAAATATAACATTTAAAAAAAACCTTTTCTGCTAGATAAAAACAAAAATTACTAATATTAGATAATATACAAATAAATTTAATTTCATTATTTAATAAAAAAAATTTATATAGTGGTATATAGTTAGTTTATTTAAGTAAAAAAATTCTCTCGTTTTCATGTAAAAAACTTGTTTATTGCGACAAACACATTCACTTACAAGTGTAATACAATTCACATACAAAAAAGGAGAGGCGCAACCATTGTGTTTGCACAGCTTGAATATTTATGGACGCATCCGACAAATATTCAATTCTGGCCAATGGAATCCTCCCGAATTTCCAGACGAAATCACATCATGCCTTGGTAACTTATTGGTTTTGAAAATGGTAACTATCAATCCCATCACATGACATTTTATACATTTTTTTGCAAAAAGCGTACAGAGAAGATTTGAAATTTTGACAATAAAAAAATCATTGATTAGTTTAGCCGAACGTGCAGGAAATAAGAAAGTCGTTTATAAATAAATATTCAGCACAATCGCAGGGGTCAGCATGACACTTAAAATTAATATGGTAACCTTGGGAGTAGGTGATGCAACCAGCAACGCACGCAAAAAGCAGAAGCGCATCCGAAAATGACCTTAAGTGCGGATTTAATCCCGGACGCTTTTGATAAAAATCACTTTTCGCAAAAGATGACAACCGACTTGAAAGACGCCAGATTAATGAAGAGAAGTACAAAAAAAATCTCATCCAAAAGTTGGCACCCAGGCGTCTTTCACAGTCTATATTTACAAAAAAACTTTAACTTTCCAAGAAGGAGAAGTGAAAGAGAAATCGAATTTTAGCCGGTTCAGAAAAGTGTTCGACCAAGAGCGTTGCGGGTGGTGGTTGCTGGTGCGGGAATACTGGACTTGGCAATACTAAAAGGGCTCTTTAGTATCCGGTCCTGGGAGGGCCGTACTGGGTGTTGACGTTGTTGGAGGGTGCAGGGAAGTTGGCGGTGCCCTCGTAGGTGACCTCAGCGTTGTAGCCGTTCTTCCAGTCGGCGGTGTAACGGACGATCTGGGTGCGGCCGTCGGGGAGCAGGACGCGGTACTCGCCACGGACGACGTCTCCGTCGGAAACGGCGTTGTGCGAGAAGTCAGTGCCGTAGTAATCGTCCTTCACGGCGTAGTTGAAGTCGTAGGGCATGCCGGGCTCGTGGTGATCGTGCTGGAAAAATAACAGAAAATTAATTTTTATAAAAATTCCAATATTTTAAAAATTTATTAAATTTAATTTCATTTAAATAAAAAACAAAATGATTATAAAATTATCATCTCCAATAATTTATTTCTTCTAAAGTTGCTTTTGTTTAAGTGAATTTTGGTTTCCTGCGAGTAAAGAGCAATTAGCGTAATTAGCGAAATTAGCAATTATGCACGCAGAGTAATTACAAAGTTTGTGACCTGGCTATGCATTTTGCCTGGATAGGTAGAAGAGAAATTACCGGATTGATGATAGAAAATATTTTTTTAAGAAAGGAAGGAGTCTACGCTCACTGGCTACTTTTTTGGACAAAGGGGTCAGGTGCACAAAGTTATCTGTTATAAAATTTCACTAAGGTCAAGGAGGAAATGAATGTTCTGGTCTCTGGAGAAAGAATGATGCATAATTTAAGAGTCATTTTGCGATTCACTTGCATCTGAATTTTTATGCCTCTAATTAATTTTAAATGCAGTGACACACTTCTGAGAGCAGCAGCGCTTAATTTAATTTGACGAGAGAAATAAAAAAAAAAATTCCATTGCAAAAATTCTCCGATTCTACGGAGGGAGAAGAAAATACAAAAACATTTTTGCAGACAAAATAATGCAATGGAGATTTCCAAATCGAGAAATCGGCATTGAGGAGCGCGTCATAAAAACAAATGGATTTATCAGATCGACGTGCGTAAATTTCCCAAGAAGCTGTAAACGTGCAGTAATTACGCGTCTATGCATCTTTCTTTGGCATTTTTCTCGGCAGCATCTCGACGGCACCGCAAGGTTACCGCATCTCAAAATTACAGGCTACGAGTGAGGCTGCGATTTCACACCAACTTCTCGATATTACAAAGTTACGCACAAAAAGCAAGAATGTAACATCAGGTGCAGTAATATAAAACTCTTTAAGCGCATTTAATTGAAAGAAAAATCCTGCCCTTGGGCTATGTTGTGCGTGAGCGCGGCGTGTATAATTATGCACAAAGTGTTCGCGGCACTCGGCGTGTGCACGGACAATATTTGCGTTCGTAAAAATGCAGCAGCATCCTTAATGAGGAAAAAGCAAGACGCATGAAGAGAAAGATAATGGAAGGTTAGGTGTTTTTGAACGCACCAGACTGTGAAATTCCGTAGGTGTTAAAAAGTGGCATTGTCCGATAAAGAAAGTATAGACATAAGCTCGGATTTTGATAAATATATTAATTAAATTTTTATTTACTTCTAAAAAAAATTCTGTCACTTTTACTAGCTCACCAAAGAAAAAATTTACTTCAGGACTTTCTTCATTTTTAAATCACATCCATTATATTATAGATAGCGATTAATGTAAGGTTTTGTAGCATAAGCACGATAAGATTTTAAAAATCTAGATATATTTAATTTGATTCTGTAAGACAAGTTTTGCACTTACGTCATGGTTGTCTGTGGGAGGCCTGATGGCAGCAGGGTAAGGGTTGTTGGCTGCAGGGGGGACTGGGGGTCCATAGCTGGGAGCAGGCCTAGGGGGAGTGAAAGTGGGAGCAGGGGTGTATGTGTTCTGGGGACGAGGGGGAGGAGTGAAGGTTGCAGGGCGAGTGGGTTGGAATGAGGGTGAAGGCTTGTTGTAGTTGTATCCGCCGGTGGTGGGTGGCAGGTAAGCGTTCTGGGGTCCGGGAACGGGAGGTTCGGCCACCACGGCGGCCACCATGGCCAGGGCCACAATCGAAGCCTGCGAAAAAAAAAGGAGAACACGGTTAAGGTTTAGCAAGACAACGATTTGCACGCCACGTTAATGGTAATTGAAGGATTAGAGACTTTGACTTTTAGATTTCGTTTTGAAAGTTGTTGCATTGAAAAGCCGAAGATTGCTTTTAACTTGATCTTTGTCGGTTTTAATTGGATTTTGAGCAAGAGCGTGAGAGTGGACCGAGAATCTTAATTGACAAAAGAGGAGAACAATCGAGGTGCTAATGTGCACTACTCTGCAAGTGTGGGAAGTCGCCTTGCATTGTTTTGCAACTGCACTTAATCGATTTATATCTCTTTTCAGTATGTAATTAAAATATTAAAAAATAACAAAAAAAATTCAAGTTGTTAAGAAGAAAATGGAAAAAAAATAATTGCAGGCTGGAATTTAAAAATATTAAATGAAAAATAATCTCAAAAATCCAGAGTGCGCGAATCGGGCGTCAAAGTCTCCACAAATCCAGGCTGGCAAAGTCCGAATCGCACAGGTCCGGGGCTTACCTTAAGCAGAGCCATTTCTGAGCACAAATTAGATCACACTTGAAGCACGAGCAATAATGAGCACTTGCACTGCCAAAGAGTAAGTGATTGCTCTGGCAGATGCCCCCGCCTTTATATATAGTTGAGCTGGGCGGCATTCGGCTCCACAGAGAGTGAGAGTGAATAGGCCCGAAAGGGAAGGGGGACCCGCCAGCAGCGGTACCTTTGGATGCACCCAAAGGCGGTCCTTCGGCCATCCGCGAGCGGCGCGTGTAATTTTCTGCCTTTTTTCGTCCGGCGCAGTGGTGGTGAGATATTGATTGAAAAACTCCTTGTATAGCAGCTCCAAATACATCTGCTATGGGTTGGGTAATTGGCTGCGAGACTGGTTGGGTACAGAGAAATTTGTCCTGCGGGTTGCATACGCACCAGTTGTTACAAACAGAGCGTGCACCTGTTAAGCTATTTCGCTGACCGCTCGACTCTTCAATATGTTTATATATTTCTTTAATTTTTAAATAATTATATTTGTACACCCGGAAGAATATGATCACGGTAGAATCTTCTTTGCTCGTTAAGCTTAATTAAATTTCAGTACAAGGTGTAATTAGAGAAGATACTTATTATGGAATTTTCTGTTGAAATTTGTGAATTATTCATTAGGCTGGCTTCAAAGAATAAAGTACCAAAAGAAGTCATAATGAACATTATTTACTCATCTGACATTTTTGACACGAAAGATGCGGTTTATTATACAAACAAGAGAAAATGGAATGCAAAAATTTGGCTAATGAGAGAGCGGTCAAGCCTTCGTACATGATAAATGAAGCGGCTCATTACGCTACAAACGAAGCGTAGTAATTAAAAGTAGAAACCAACAAAAGTTTGATTTCCCTGATCATCCCAACAAAACTAATTTTTAATTTTTTTCTGATGATATCTAGGTAAATGAATTTCTTGAATAATTTTTAGCCAGATGAGGTGATAATAGTTGTTCTGAAAGGTCCCAAAAGAAAAGCAAGAGCGCAAATTTTTGAATACGATTAAGAATTAAGATTTATATTAAATTTAAATAAAAAAATGCATGTGTTTTTGCTTATACCGTGTTCTCAACAAAGCGTGAAATTCCTGCTGGTCGGGAGAGCAGTATTGCCTTTCATTTGCATGCGGTCTTATAACTTTCGTTCCTCTGCGAGATGACCAATTTCAAGGTCAACTAACCTTTATGGAGAAGACGATGCTAAGGCATTGATGATCAGACCATTTACAAGGTACAAGGTAAATTAATTATTTCAAAAATTTTAATTTTTACATATTAATTTTCATATTTGTATATCTCAAGGCAATCTTAAAATTTATATCGATTTATTCTTTATTCCGCTTTATTCTATACATTAATAATTGCCAAACCGAATAAAATTTTTGTTTCTTTTCAACTAGTATTATTAAAAATGAGACATAATAATTGAGCATCAATCGCGCATCTAGAACCTTTACATGCAAATTTTATTTAAATGAGCCTCTTTTTAATATATCTGCCATATAATATGAAAGATGCCAGAAAATCATTTAATGAACAGCTGAAGGGTTTTCACGCCTTTCTGTTACATCAAGAGAGCAAATTAAGAAGCGACAGACCATCATACACTGACTCTTCTTTTCATTGTCAGTCCCACACATGATACTCCTTGAATCCTTTAAGGTAGCGCTCAATTGCAAATATAATGTTTTTGGGTGTTTCTCAAGTTAATTCCATATAGGTGCCCAGACGCCTTCAAAATTTTGAACTATAATTACTGAATAGGTTTTATTTAAAAAGCTAATACTTTGGTGTTAAAATAGTACAAAATTCAGGACGAGCTGACAAACTAAATTAAATGCATACGTATTAGATCATCATATTATTCAAGAATAGGCCTGATGATAATGAACTAGTGGTGATTTGCAGGAGGAAGATTTATTAGCTACCTTTCATGCGAATTAGTTGTTCAATGCGATGCTACAGAAGAGTGTGCGGACGGGTGAGTGTGTGCTTTCCGCCCACGCCGCCCCCGATGTGCACGCTCTATGCATTATACTATAAGCGAGTTTGTAAATTACAGGGCACGCCGCGTTGGTAGTTATGCGAGTATACACGCATAAAATACAATTCCGCTGCATTGGTTGATGCGTGCGCTTTTATCGCAATTATGTTACATTATGAAAACGCAGCAAGCAGCACGCCTGTCGTCATTCATTGTTTTTGCAAGAGAGCCTTTTAATTATAAATAAAATTGATTTTTATATGTAATACAAATATAAATACATTGAAACTTAATTAGGTAGATACAAAAAAATTAATTTTAGACAGATTATATAATTTTCAAAAATATCAAGCCATTGTACAATTTACTCTAAATTAAATCTCACGTGAAGCAATAAAAATAAACTTTCAAAAAGGCATGACTAAACCCCTGTTGCTCGAAATTTCCCTTGAGTAAGTTTAAAAAGTTTTCCCGTTGCTAAACAACTGATGTCTTTTGTCACCTTTCGTGTGTCTGTTTTCGTCGCAGTCCGATTCTCACCTGGTGGATTCACGCCCACGCTGGTGCTGACTGGTTTTCCTATAAGGACGGAACGCGCGAGTTATGACACACACGATTATCGCAATGAGCGAGTGTAATTTTTGTCAGCAATAAAAATAACAAATTTTACTCAGCGTGAGAAACAATTTCATTTTTGAACACGAATATTTATTTTCACTGGAGGTTAAATTAATTTTGGTGTTTGATATTCAACAGATTTAACAACCACCAGACTTTTCAACGGTGTTTCGAACAATGAGCTTTGCGGGAGTGAGGAATTTTATAGCACTATCAACTTACATAACAATCGACAGTATAATCCCGTGTTGTTACATACTGCTGCAAATTCCTCTTGGTAATACACCGCTTGGTTTTATGCACTCTTTGTAATCCGTCATAAAAGGCAGAGGATTGGAAAATGATTAGCAGCGCCCAAAGAGAGCGCCAAGATGTGCAAATCCCGTCGTAAAACTTGGATCGTATAATTATATAAATATAATTTGCACAAAAGCATTTGCGCGAATCGTAAACAAGATTTTTTTCATTTCACCCACGGCAGCTGAACATAATTGTCTGCTTTTTATCGTTTGATTTATTATCGCGACCCCCTCTTGATCCGTCTTTCACTTTCGTCTCGCCACGAAGGAAAGCGAAGCACGCCTGAAAAATCACGCCGCTCTGCATTACATATTTATGCACTTGTCCAACAAGAGCACACGCGCCGTTTTCCGACTTTCTCGACACTTTTTACGACAATAGATGAGCTCCGACGTGTCAGGCTGGAATAATAAACACAAGCAATAGGTTCAATAAAGTAATAATATCAAATCAAAATGCATCGGCCCGCGGCAGAATTTTGGCTGGTAATTGCCGGCCGCTGTATTCATTCTTTGTGCAAATAGCGACAAGGAACTCTCGACAGACATGGCATGATATTAACATAATTATTTTGATTAGTGGCGGTCGGCAAAAATGCTCCCTGCGCTTTCCCTTGCAGATTGGTTTGTTATAATATTATATGATGTGAATATCACGTCTAGTGCATTTTTTTCCAAACAAGGAGAAGTTGCAAAACTTTCAGATCAAACGCTGTTGGAATCTACGGTTAATTACGAAATGCGTTATCCAAATAATAACGTTTGAATAATAAAGAATTAATATAATTCAATAATTTTTAATTTATAAAAAAATTATAAAATAATAGGGGTATTCAATACTAACAGACAGCTCTCATCGTATAAAAGATAAATTTTTTAAAATTTTTGAAATCACATTTTTTCGTGAAATAACTTTTTTTTAAAATCATAAAATCACGTTTTTTAAAATCACGCTTTTTAAAGTTTTTTAAAGACACAAAAATCTGTCTGAATCAAATGAACCTTTGCCAACTGCAATCATCACCTTTAAATTATAATATAATATTTTTGTGAGCCATTCTATTTTTAAGTCCCTCTTATTTAACTAAGAACATAACACCTGTGCCAATCAAATTATAGCAAATTACACACAACGGCTTTAACAGTTCTAGTTCAATGCTGACTTCTTGTCTACGCTCATAATTATCAACGTTATTTTTTGCCTCGGATGAGCTGCTGTTTAAACGTTGCCATTAATTTTGAAAGTAGGCGAACGTTACGCGCCTGTCTCCCGTGAGAAAATTTATTGCATCCACATAGCATCATGATCCAGTAGCACCAAGGCCGCGCCAAAGGACGGCACCGTTTTCCTCGAGCATCATCCATTCAAAATGTCTCAAATTCCCGGACACACTTTTCTTTCCTGCTGATCTCCTCATTGCACTATCACGACCCGTGTGTAGTGTAACAATAAAAACCAATTGCTTCACTGCTCCAGCCCATAACTGACTCACTAACTGATATCTAATAAAAAGATTAGCATGCAAAAACGCCCTAAGTGTTGCTCAGCAGAAATTATTAACATTTCCGAGCGTTTCGAATTCAATGCCAAGCTGAAATAATTTCCAGATCTCAATCTCACTGAGGGTGCATTTTCCTCAATTACGTAGAAGATGAGTGTTGGGTTAAAAAATGTGTCCCCCAGGGCTGCGGCCTTGGAGCAGAACGCGAGATGATGACTAATTGAGGCAGACGGTAACACCAATTTGTTATGAATCGTCCGCTTTGTTACATATATGGGGGACAAAAAAAAATACATCCTCTGCGACGAAAGAGTGAAAGTGGTTTTTGAGTGTAATTATTGGTGAATTATTATCGGTTTGGTGCTCCGCAAACCAATTTTTCTCAATGTCGCCCAGACTCAACCACCTCGGCCGACACACTTCTTCTTTTTTGTGTATTTTTATTGGAGAGTGCGTGTGGAGCATGAGAAAATAACTCGTCCGATTTACAAACATTGGAGTGCAGCCTCTCTCATATAATTGCTTTCGATATCGCGGGCGACCATGACAAGATGAGCGCGAAATGAGGCTGCATCCTATGTATTAATTTTTAATATTTGGCGAGGTGAACCAGATAATGAAATAATATATTGCTCATCTCGGTTGCGCTTCCAGGATGAGCATAATTCATCTGGTGCTGCCGCCGCAGGCTCAGTGGAATTCTCGGCTTGTTTGTCAATGAAAGTTAATTTTACG